GGATGGGCCTGAAAGTAGGAGGTGAGTTTCTTCGCCGTTATGAATAGTGCATACCCTGCCTTCTCTGTGGGAGTATACCTACTTTCTGCCCCATTTAAGGCCTTGCTTACATAATAAATGGGCCTCTGGACCCCATCATCCCTCATCAAGACCGAGCTAACGGCCATCTGAGTTACCCCTAGGTAGAGGTATAGAGTCTCCTTCGTTTCCGTCTTGGATAGGACAATATTCGAAGTCAGGTACGTCTTTAGCTCTTCGAATGCCCTGGCACATTCGTCATCCCACTAGAAGGTGTTGGCTTTCTTTAAGACTTTAAAGAAAGGTAAGGCCTTCTCAGCTGATCTGGAAAAGAACCGGTTTAGGGCCGCCAGGCGCCCCGTCAATCTCTAGACATCCCTTACCGAGGTTGGGGGTTGCATATCAACAATGGCCTTGATCTTCTCAGGATTTGGCTCAATCCCCCTCTTCGTAACCATGAAGCCCAAGAACTTCCCCGTCCTTACGGCAAAAACACACTTCTTTGGATTAAGTCTAAGATTATGCCTAGCCATAATCTCAAAACATTTTTCCAGGTCTTGAGCGTGTGTGTTGGCTGTCCTGCTCTTCACTAGCATATCATCGACATAGGCCTCCACGGTCCGTCCAAGTAAAGGCCTGAACAATTTGTTGACCATCCTCTGGTAGGTCGCCCCTGAGTTTTTCAACCCAAAGGCCATCACCTTGTAACAGTATGTCCCGTCTGGGGTGAGGAAGGCCGTCTTTTCCTCGTCATCTTCCGCCATGAAGATCTGATGATGCCCTTTAAAGGCATCCATGAAACTTAGCAGCTCACACCCGGCGGTTTCGTCAACCATTTGGTCCGGGCTGGGGAGAGGATAAGAATCCATTGGGCATGCCTTGTTGAGGTCTGTGTAGTCTACGGACATCCTCCAGGTATCACCCTTCGGAGCCAGGACTACATTGGCCAGCCATTCAGGGTAGTTTACTTCCCTGATATGACCTACATCAAGTAGGTCCTTAACCTCCTTCTTTACAAAATCTCTCCTATCACTTGCCAAAAATCTCTTCTTCTGTCTTACAGGCCTAGACCCCTCAAGAACATAGAGACGATTGCAAATGACTGACCGGTCAAATCCGGGCATATCAGCAACACTCCAGGCAAACAAAGATTTATACCTGGTCAGCACCTGGACAACCTCAGTCCTTAGCTCCTCCTGAAGATCAGCCCCAATCTTGACCTTCCTCTCAGGATTGGAGGCATCAATCTGGATCTCCTCCGTGTTTGCATCTGGCTCGATTCTTGCCTTCTCCTCTCCCTTGTCTACTTGCTGGGAGACCAATTCAATTTGTTCAAATTGGCGGGTCATTTTCTTAACTGCTTCCAGGTAGCAGGACCGGGCATTCTTTTGATCACCCCTTTCCTCCCCGATCCCATTGGGAGTGTAGAATTTCATGCACAAGTGTGCCATAGAAATGATGGCCCTGACCTGGTTGATTCCAGGTCATGGTTCTTACCGTAATACATGTGTGAACTATAGTTGGTGTTGTTTAGAGTAAACGAACCAATGACAAATGTTACCCGACCCCAAGGTAACTGGTAAGGTGATCTGACCTTCCGCTTCTATGCTAGCTCCAGTGAAGCCTGACAATGGAGTTTGCAACGGTCTCAACATGGACCTGTCCAGCTTCAATTTCTTGAAAGCATCCAAGTATAGAACATTGACACTGCTTCCTGTGTCAACCAGGACCCTGGCCACATCAGCTTCATTGATATCCATTGTAACAACCAAAGGGTCATTATGATCTCCCCCCGTCCTGGGCAGATCCCTATCAGTGAAAGTGATAGGTTCCCTCTTTGCCTGCTTCCCTTGTGATTCCAGGGAAACCACCGCTACGTGCAAGCTCCTGGCCCAATTCTTCCGCTGGGAGGCAGTGTCCCCGCCTTCTAGGCCGCCGACAATCATCTCGATGAATTCTTTATCCGGCTTGTTGTTATCCTTTCCGGATTTTTTCCTCCCCTGGTCTTTTCCCTGAGGACGGGTCCAGGTGTTCGCTTTCAGATCTTTATTCCCCGCTGCATAACCTTCCCCCAGCTCTCCGTTCAAGGCCATCTCCTTGAGCACGGCCTTGACATTTCGGCAGTCCGCCGTGTTGTGGGAATCGGATTGGTGGTATGTGCACCACTTCTCCGTCCATGGTCTCTTGGGTTGCTCTCCCTTCTTATCATCCCTTATTTGGTGGATGGACCCGTCATATGTGGCTTTTGGCTTGGACCCTCCCGTCTGGTCATCCTTCTTCGGCTTGTCAGATTTCATCTTTGTATAGCCTTCCTCCAGCTCTCGCTTGCTCTTGTTCAGGACCTCCGCCTCGGAGTATTCCCATGCCGTATTATAGGCTTCCTAATAAGAGGAGGGTGGCCTTCTACAGAATTCAGTGTAGAGGTCACCCGACCGGAAGGCATTCATCAGTAAAGACATGGCCGTCTTATCATCCATCTCTTCTACCTTGTCAACCTCATCCCTCCAGCGGGTTAAGAATTGAGTCAAGGACTTCTTCTCCCTCTGCCCTACCGTGTTAAGGTAGGTGAACTTCTTCCTCTTAATGCAGTTGTCTTGGTACTTCTTGCGGAAAACTTCGGCAAGTTTCTCAAAGGACCCAATCCTACCATGGGGAAGGCCGTTAAACCATTCCACAGGCCTCCCTCTCAAGGATGAGAAGAAGAGCAAGCACTCCTCAGCATCAGTGCACCCGGCCATCTGTCCTGCATTGTGGAAGGTGTCAAGGTGGACATTTGGATCCTCCTTTCCAGTGAATTTCTCCACGTCCAGCTTGACCTTCCGCCTCAATTTTTGTGCATGTACCCTGGCCGAAAAGGGTGATTTGGCCAGGGTGTGCTTCTTTGCTCCCGCCTTCTCGTCCACCTTTTCCTCCAGGGCACGAAGCTTTCTCGCTACGCTCCCTATCTTGTCCAGGTCATCCTCATCATATGAGAGCCTGGTATATGCCGATGCCCTGGGCTGGCTTTCAGCTTCCTCCTCGTCTAGGTGAATCGTCTCAGATTCCCTAGAACGACGACATTGGGCGGGGCGATTCCCTCCAAGTCTTTCCATTGCGCTAGTCCGGCCCATCTCAGGACCAAGACGTAGCTTGGCAGACTTTCGGGGCCCATCCTCTTTGTCCCCTAGGCGTTTGAACGCTGAATCTCGGGTCTTGCTGGGTTTGGCTATAGCCTTACCCTTCCTCTTGCGGGCCGCCTCTTGCTCCGCCTCATCGACCTCATGGACATTTGAGGGTGCTGCTTCATTCATGGTCCCCGTCAGATTCACCGGGCGTATAGGGACCATCCTAGGGACAAATGTCGATGGGGTTGACACCGGAGGTGGCATGATTGGCGGCGTCATGCCAGGATAGGCAAATGGCATGAAGCCCCCTGCCTGTTTCATCATGGCCATCACTTGTTGATAGCCTGTAGAGCCTGAGCATTTGCCGGGTCAGCAGCAAACTGAGCCCAAGCTGACGGGTATGGTGTGAATGCTCCACCAGGCGTTGTTATTGAGCCTGGGAACATTGTCGTTGTCGGCGTAGGAGTAGGGGTTGACATGATTGGGATCATGCCAATCGATCCTACAACGGTGATCGGGGCAAAGGTCGTCCCCATGCTTGGCATCATCAATGGGATGGCAGGAGTGCTTTCACTCGCAGCCTGGCTTGACACAGTGTTGTGGTTGCTTGAAGACATGATTGTGGATATTTAGTGGGGTTAAAGTTTTGACCTGGTCGAAAAAACTTAAAAAAAAATCGGTCCCACGGTGGGCGCCAAAAATGATGGTGTAAATATAGATGGGTGGGTTGACCGGGTTTGACCTGGACACTCGACCCGTAATATAAAACACACAACAAGAACACAAATTATGACCTAGACCGGGTAAATCTCCTCAGTCTGAAATATATTTCTTACTCTGTCTCAAAAGTGTACTAGTTTTTAGTGAGAGAAAGAATGGATCCCCTCCTCTATCCAATATCATCATATTTATAGAGGAGGACTTGTGACCTTCCCCTGTTCATCCATGGACAAATTAGGAAGCCCGTGGGAAGGTCACTATACATAATCAATCTACTATTCAATCAATGAATTTAGCAACTACAAGCCAAGACATGTACTGTTCAATCAAAGACTATAAATGGATATTCTCAACCCAATCAGCCCTGCAAAGTGACAAATGTTCCTTTCACTATTTGCCTCGTGACGGACGAACGGCGGGGTGGTCCCCTGGCCGGGGACGTTGATTGTCATTCCCAAGTGACGCAACCTTACCGGTCACCTTTCCACCAAGGTTGTCCGGTCATTCCTTGAGTTCGACCCGTCTCTTTGGTTCTCTGGACTATCCTTCATAACATGAAGTGACGAATTGGCTAACGCCCAAAATGTGACCGGTCACTTTTTTAGTGGAAGTGACTGGTCAACTTTTGACCCGTCCCAATCGAAGAGTTAACCTCATTTGGTGAGTGATAAAAGTGACCGGTCATATTTTGACATGTCCCTTTTGGTTATCCAGGTCGGGTATAGGGATATACCCATCAATTTTAAAATAAAATTTTGATATATTAAAATTTATATCATTTAATTATTTAAAACAAATTTAATTGGTGATCAATGTTTTTAGAAATTGATTTTAAAAAGTTAAGCTATAGTAATCTTTTTGGACGGAGGGAGTATTACATAAGAAATAAAAGATTGCTTCTATGGTGCAGCTTGGACATATACCATTTTGGTAGGCCTCACATAAAAAAAATTAAATTTTTTATTAAAAAATAGTTACTTATTTAAATAGTATGGAAATGCTTATTTTATTCGTATATAGATCCATGGTGAACCCTTGGTCCACCAAAAATATTCCGAAATAAAAAGACGATGCCCATGTTAAATAATTTGCATGCCCGAGTACAAATAATCAGATGACTGAAAATAGATGGGCCTTAGACTCTTAGCCGCTTTAGAGCGCATTCCATTTGCCTGATCTGAGAGAAAAATGTATTATATTCTAGTCTGATCCAAATTGAATGAATCATATCTGATTTGATCTGATCTAATTAAATCTAATGTGAATAGATCTACAAAATAGTATGAAATTTATTATAGTAGCTTTTGATCAAAATTTATTTGTTTTATAGAAAAGAAATTTATTGGATAATCAGTTGAAGATATAGAAGAATAAAATCGCTAGCAACAATCAACTATTGGAAAATATGAATGTTTTGTGACAAAAGTGAAAATTTTATACATTTCATGCTAATCTTGTTTGAAATGTAGATTTCGCGTTAATCATGTTAGTAACCTATTATTTGAATTACACTATTTTGTTTCTCTGTCTACTGTCTTGACTCATTGTCATGAAAAGCTCAGAGAAATCCAATGTGATCATTTAAACGTGTCTTCAAATAAATCTTCAGTGCTTTTAATGAATAAGATTTATTTATGTATCAGTTCTTTTTATACAAACACATACTTATGAAGTTGAATTTCAAGGTCAAAAGACCGTTTTGTTGTTAGTTGTGACTTTTTTGTGATTTAATACTTTCAACATTTTATATATAATCAAATAAAATCTATATATAAAGTACATTGATTTGACAAAATTAAAATTTTAAAAATAATCTATAAAACATATCTAATAAAATGATTATTGTAACAATATCTAGTACCAATTTTTTTAATTAATGGTCAAAGTTTATTAATTTTGACAGCAGAACTCGTCAAGGTCGGGTGTGAGTATTAAATTACGACATAATTTAGAAATGCATGAGTAAATCACATTTCATACACTTGCGATGTGCACAAATTATAAGGTACAGCCGGTTGTACCGTTTTTTCAGTACAGCCGGCGATTAGATCGACAGAAGGAGAGGCGCACCGACGAAGGGAGGCCGAGGAAGGAGGGCCGGAAAGATCGAAGGCAGAACCCTAGTGCAAGGAGGCGGCCGCGATTGACAGTTGAACGCTAATGTCGTGGTGGCGGATGCAAGATGAAACCCTACCTCGATGGTCGAGATTTACAGAAGAAGATGGAACACGCGGATGGCGGTGAATATGCTATACGAAAACACGCCTATGGTGCAGACATGCGATGACGATGATGACAGTTATGCATTACAGTACATTTTTTCCAAATCTGCCAAATATGAAGAGACTCTACGTAATTTGAGGAGCTCATACTTTATTTGAGAATGAGTACTACTTTGTTTCCGAATGAATATTACGGAGTATATTATTTGTAAATGAATATGATAATTGTATGGAACAAATGCGTGAAAATGAGTACTGTGTTATTTCAGAATGAATTCTGTGTTATTTAAAAATGAGTATTACGTTATTTCATAATGAACACTTGTGTTTTGTGCGAGAATGAATACCATATTACTTCAAAATGAGTACTAGGGGATGTACCTTACTTTGGGTACAACCGGTTGTACCATATACGTCCTCTACGATGTGCATTCTAAAAACAGACCTAACAAATAGTCTTTCTAATTGATTGTTTCTATTATCACAACTCATGAGTTTCAATCCTTTCTAATTTTTCGTATGCAAGACATCCATTAAAAGTTAGGCTCCGTTCCGTTCAACTTATTTTTCTGATCTGATCTGATTCTAATAAGTTCTGATCTGATCTGGTCTGGTCTGGTCTGATCTGATCTGATTGGATCTGATGTGATCTGATGTGATCTGATGTGATCTGATTGGATCTGATCTGATCTGATCTGATTCTGATCTGATTGGATCTGATCTGATCTGATTGGATCTGATCTGATCTGGTCTGATCTGATTAATTATGATCTAATTTAAAATTTCAAATCAATAATTTAATTTGACTTTATAATAACGTTTGAAAATTGTAATGATAATTCATATTATAATATAATCAATATTTTTTATTTAATGATTATTTTTTAATAAAATAAAAATAGTTAATTCATATATTAGAATAATCATTCATATTATAATGTAATAATATTTTTTATTTTATGATTATTTTTTTGTAAAATTAGAATTATACATTAGGATAAATATTTAATTTAGATATAAATTAACAAGTAATTAAATTTAGATAATCAATATATAGAAGAGATAGTATTTTTATTAAAATATCTCATCTTTATAAAAGATCAAAAATTTAGAAACTCAAATTACAAGTAGCAATAAAAATATATTTTAAAAGTAGAATTAGATTGACATTGTCAATGTATTTTAAAACTAATTTTTCTGACGTCTAATAATTAAGGATTACTTTCTCAGTTTTCTATCTAACCTATTTCTAAAGTTTATTCTTTTTCATTTTTAAGAACAATAATAATGATGATGATGATGATGATGATGATGATGATGATGATGATGATGATGATGATAATAATAATAATAATAATAATTTTTGATGGGATCTGATTTTAATAAGTCCTGATCTGATCTGATTGGATCTGATCTGATTCGATCTGATCTGATTCGATCTGGTCTGGTCTGATCTGATCTGATTTGATTTTAATAAGAATAAGAAAAAATAAGTTGAACAGAACGGGGCCTTAATCATAATTAAAGACTGATATTTTAACATTAAGCAAACATACGATGGAGGTTGCTATTGATTTTTGAAATAAAAACAATATTTTAAAATTCGTATAATACATGGATTACAAAATTAAAAATTGGAATTCTAAATAGACATTAGCCTTCTATACCAAAAAAATCATTATTCCATGATCAAAGTTGAGTAAATTCTATAATTGGTCCTTTATAACAGGAGGTTTCCCTATTTAGTCCTCTATTATCAAATATTACCCAAGTGGTCCTTCTTTTATGGGTACCTTTCCATAAATAGTCCTTTTTGATCTTCTATCATGTTGGTGTTAATTTGAGGGCTAAAAGTGTAATTTCACAATGATAATATATCTTTTTTCATACACAATTTCAAAGGCTGTCCCGTTTGCATCGTTTGTGAATTACAATTGCTTTTTACGACAACTATAGTCTACAAATGTGATCTTTCGTCAGAAACCTAGCCCACAATCATAGTCATTATTTTTGTGTTATCCGCTTAACCAATATCAGAACACGTCACTAGACATAATGTTGACGTCAAGTTATACTTTTAGCCTTTAAATTAACACCAACACGGCAGAAGATCAAAAAAAGGACCATTTATGGAAAGGTACCCTTAAAAAAAGGACCACGTGAGTAATATTTGATAATAGAGGACTAAATATGGAAACCCCCTGTTATAAAGGACCCATTATGGAATTTACTCATCAAAGTTTTATCTTTTTTTGGCTTCATTTCATTACGTGTCTCACAAAATAACATAATATTGTCATCTCTTATTTTTTAGAACTATTTAAATTCTTTTCAAATACATACATTTTATTTTATATTTTATATAAATTTTGGTTCCAGTTTGACCAATCCGACCATCCGGTCCGGTCTGATTCTAATAACCGATTTTTAAACTGGCAAAAAAGACTTAAAAGGCTTTGTTTCAAGTGTGCCAATCATTACCAACTCTGATCTTTGTTTTCAACTCTAGAATGTCTCCATACAAAAGCTTAAATCCCTCACCATCATACATCATATGTCTCTCTGTTTCAGGTGAGAGCAAGTACCCAGCAGCCAGCCAAAAAACAAGAACAAGACGGTTACTCACTTCGGCTTCATTTGTCCCATTCGGAATCGGGAAATCTTGTCACATTTCCCGAAGGCATCTGATCTGTGCTTGTTTGTTGCGCATCAAAATAGTGGTTCCATCCCAGGATATATGGCAAAGCAAACTGCATTTGAAAAATGACAACATATAGGGAATGAATCTTGGCGTGTCTACCATAGAAAGGCATGAGAAAAATTAAATGTTCTTGCAAGTAACTACGTGTAAAGGACAACATTGTATCGGAGCAGAAGAATAAATCACAGTTCATCATCCAAATTTTCCCATGAATCCATGATGGTGATTAGAGGGGGAGGGGAATCATGAGGTAATGTGTAACACCACTACGTGTTTGGTTACCGAAAACAAGAGTTCTTTAAGTTTACATGTGTCATGACAAAAGAAATCTTGGAAGGCGACCATAAAACAATACTCATATCAATATAAGTTCATTGATTTAGGTAGTATTTCGTTCAACGGAGGGGAAAGGAAGGGTGTAAAATAATTTCTCTTTTGGAGTTGAGCAGGAGGGGGGGGGGGTGGAATAAGATTTCCCTTGTTTGGTATTGTAAAGAAACGGAGGGGGAGAAACCAAAATGAATGTCGGAATTTATTGACTCTCACGTAGTACCTAAGGTAGACAAGTTCCGATATCTTGGCTCGGTAATCCAGGCGGATGGGGAGTTAGACGGGGATGTTGGACATCGTGTTGGAGTGGCTTGGGCCAAATGGCGGTTGGCCTCAGGGGTGTTGTGTGACCCGAAGATTTCGCCCAGGATGAAAGGTAAGTTCTACCGATCCGTAGTCAGACCTACTATGTTATACGGGGCAGAGTGTTGGGCACTTAAGAAGACTCATGTGCGTCGCCTGCATGCGGCGGAGATGCGGATGTTGAGATGGATGTGTGGGAAGACAAGGTTGGATAGGATTTCGAACAAAGTTATCCGACGTCAGGTAGGCATGGCGCCGGTGGAAGATAAGTTGCGGGAAGCGAGGTTGAGATGGTTTGGGCATGTGAGACGGCGGGATGCTGATGCCCCTGTGCGGAGGTGCGAGAGGATCACGGTTATCGGGGGAAGTAGGGGAAGGGGTAGACCTAGGAAGAATTGGAAGGAGGTGATTAGGCAGGATTTAGGACTTCTCACCCTGACTGAGGATATGGCCAGGAACCTTTGGAGGACTAGGATTAAAGTAGCTGGTTAGGAGCTCGGTGCTGCAGAGGTTTTTTGTAGTGTGTTGTGCTTGATTGGAATATTCTACTTTTGCTTGCTGGACTTTCATTTCATTGTACTTGGTGCTTGATCCTGTTATATCCTGTTATCCTGTTATATTGTGTTCCTTACCATATTTTTTTTTGTGCAGATTGAGCCGGGGGTCTCTTGGAAACAGCCTCCCTACTTTCGAGTAGGGGCAAGGTCTGCGTACACACACCCTCCCCAAACCCTACTGTAATGGGATTCAACTGGGTTGTTGTTATTGTTGCTTTCAATTGCAATATGTATAGATTTCATAGTTTTAAAAATGTGTGCATAATGGAATAAAAGTAATCCTTGTAGGCATTCAGATGAAATTTAAGAAGCTATAGATGCATTTGATGTTCAGGAAACCACATTTAGCTATTTGCCTTGCGTTGATTTAGCAAAGGGTGTATATATCAAGTTTCCCATCCTTTACTTTTTTGTCAACATATAGATCCAGAGGAAAAAGAAATTGAAAATACTGTAGCCATACAAAAATGTTTTATCTATAATACGGAGTATATAAAAAGTATTACAGAGTATATCTCTTTAAAACATGTGAAACAAGTGGCTAATTTTCATCTGACAAATACCAAAAATAGAAAACTTCATTAAACAGAAGAAATGCACCAAAGTTATAGAGAAAGAGCATACATTGAAAGCAGTCCGCATAACAGCAAACTCAGCACTCGTAACTGGCACAGTTAGGCGATCATTTGTCTTGAGGACATTGTTGACAACATCTGCAGAAGAAGAGGAAATGAAAAAATCAAAGGTAATTTGGAATCAATAAACAGTACTGTATTTTGTAAAAATTCTATGCGGGAGAAGGAAGAGGACAATAACTACAAAATAGATGGCATTGCGAAGTGATGCAAAAACTGTAACTACAACATTTTAGTTGAATATCTCACTAAGAGACATGAAATAATCACAATTGAAAACTTACTAAGAGACATGAAATAACCACTGTTGTCACTATGTGCCTTGATTGACATGCTTTTTCTAACTTCACCGGCATTGCTGAAAATATTAGCGTAGTTAGGATGACAAGACTATGGCCCATTACATGTACTCACGGTCATTATGAAAGGCGATGCCAAAGTACCTTTGTTTCATGGAAGGATCGTGGAAGAATTCACAGGATTCATCAGGACCTAAGTTGAGGAGAGCTCCAACCTCAGTTGCTGACAGTGCAAACATCTATGTGAAGATCAAATCAGTCAGTCCGGCAAGATTAGGAAAAGGGGTCCTTTCTGAAATTTTAGACATTGCATAGTATCATTGGAAAATATGGAGGATGTTCATTAGAACAGAAAAGCTTTCTCTTCAGCAACTTTCTCACGTGACTCCTACTGTTTTGGAAACACTATTCTTTGTGTATAAGATAAGACTGAAAGGGAAAAAAATGTTGCTGTATTTAAGAAAATGCAAACATTACTTGCTTCTTTTCCCAGTCATACTTGCGCTCACCAACAGCAGGAGAGAATGTCAACAATATAACACCCTTGCGATCAACCACTAGATTTCCCAACTATGAAACAAAGCATACATAAATAGATACAATATGGTATGTAAACAATTTTCAATATAATTTGAAAAAAAAATTAGAGGAACATATACATTTGATTTGGTGAATGTTGGAGGTATGGGTGAGGCAGACAGGGCAGCTTTGCCCTTGAAAATTGTATAAGGAGCATATACTTTGTGTCTCAATGGCCCTAATGGAAAACAAAAAAAAACACATAGTATGTAAGGAACTTCTTCGTCCTTGTATATATAAAATGGAATAGCTATGTTCTTTTTCATATAATTTGGTACCATTAGCCCCATATGATATAGCTGCAGTAGCCATTCCAGCCCGAGGGGATAAACCACGCAAGCTGCAGCGCACAAAGTCAAAGTAAAAAATGTCAGCCCGGTCCTCAAAACAAGGATTGTTGAGGAAAGGGTCCCTTCGTGAGGGGATGTTGGCAAAATGCAATATAAATGCAAGTTCCCGCTTCAGCTAAGAAACACCATATAAATGTAGCAACAAAATTAGAGCAAACTAAAGGGTAAGAACTAAGAACACCAATGTCAGGGAGAAAACTAGAATTGGTCAATGTACCAAATCATCATACTGCAATTCCGCTATGCAGCCAAATGAAGAATGTAAAGTGAAGTTTCAAATGACCTTCCACTTGAAACAGCTATGGAACATTACAAATCCCTCGTCAACAATGTTATAGTTCAGAAAAGGTTTTTATATTCGAACACGTCCCCTCAAGTGCAGACATACCATTTGAACCTTGCACACAAAACTTTAATTTTTATAATACTGGGTGGCAATGAAATTCGAACTAGTGACCTCATGTAACATGACAAATCCCTCGTCAACAAGAAGGCTTGGATACCATATCTACCATTTCAAAGAAACAACGAAACCAAATGCTCAAACTTGTAGTTGTAGACCAAGGGTTTTCAAATTCGAATGTTTAATATGAAGTCCGAACAGAGCAATTGAATGAAATGTGGAATTATGAAAGGAAACAAATACCAGAGACTCAAATCCCCCATACAGACGAACTTAAACGTTCATTCTATCCCCCCCAATTCGATTTCCCTTGGAAGAAAATCTACGATTCGGCTCGAGATTTTGGGAGAACAACAAAATTGTCAATGTTTCTGGTCGGGTTAAAAATCGACGCACAAGCACTGTGCGAGAAATGCCGGTTCCCGTAGAGGGAGAGATAGGCGTGGCGGAATAGGGTTTAAGAACAGATTTGAGTAATTTGGGAAGAAGATTTGAGGATTACCTGGAGCCGAGATGCTTTGAAATCTTCAACATCCTGAAGTTTGAGACTTTGAGGTGAGAATGGGAGATGGAGTATATATATACTTCAGATTTTCAGCTCGAAAACTTGTTGGTTTGAATTTGAAATTTTTGCTGAGAGCAATTCCAATGCACGGTGTATCTTGGATACTATCATGTTCACTTTGTTGCCCTCAATTAGAATATCTTACTATATATTATCATGTTCACTTTGTTGCCCTCAATTAGAATATCTTACTATATACAATGCGTTTATGAACAGTATTCCCGCCCATTTGATAAGCTACAGTAGCCGCTGCATTTGAACCGCACACATTCGGATAAGAACTAATAAGAAAGAAGGAGGCTTCTGCCGTCCAATTCCAATCTGCGTAGAGAGAGAAACGAAGAAGGAGGCTTCCGCTCAGCACTTTGCCGTAGCGAGAGAGAGAGACGAATAAGGAGGATACCGCCGTCCTATTTCAATCGGCACTTCGCCATAGCCAGAGAGAGACGGCGAAAGAGAGAGAGCACCGCCGCGGGTAAGTAACATAGCCGCTGATTGGAATTTTTTTTCTTTCTAATTTTGAGGTTCCGACGGAGATGCTTTTACAATTTCTTCATCATCTTACCAATTTCTTTTGTCGCTAGATTGAGATTGAGTATATACTTACAATGTCAAGCTCAAGAACCTTAGAGACATCAGTTGGGACGCCGGATGGGTATCCAATCCCTTTGGATTTACATCTCAGTCTCATGTCAACCACTGGCAGAGCAGATAGGAATAGGAACTGTACAGGTAGCATGTGAATTCTCCATTCTTCCTGAATGCAACTAATATTCAGCCATCAAAAATTACAGTATGTACACACTTCATAAATCATAAGCACAATTTTTTCATATTTTAGGTTTAAAATTTCAGATCCTGATTTACATTTTACACTAAATTTTTTAATAATTGGATAATATGCTACATGAAATTGATCTTACTTTTTTTTGTGTTCTTGATGCTATCATGGAATGGAGGATGTTCAAGCTATTTTGTCTCTATTTTTTTCTTTTCTTGAAATTGGAGGATTATTTCTCTACTGCAAGCTTCTTTCATATTCTGAAATGCTTCTTTTTTTTCTTTTTATATATTCTGATATGTTCTTTTTCTATTCTTTGATTCATACTTGGGTTTTGCAGGGTGGATATATAAGGAAGATGGTTCAATTGAGGCTAGACAATCTTCTTAGTGTGTGGAAGAGCTGAATCTTAGTAATCCGTATAATCCTTCTCACTATGACATATTTGAGTTAAAATATTTGTAATTTGGTTGCTTGCTTAACGTTTTTGTGGGATATTTGTCTGGAGGGTGATATGTGTAGGTTGAACTATCATGGCGGCGATAGGGACCATTCTGGCAAGTTATTTTCATCATTGGCTCATCTATGCACAATTTTTCTAAGCATTACCAAGAATCTGTATTTTATAATGCCATTTACCTGCAGGTCTGCGTAATGCCAAACTTGAAGGTCTTCACAAAAAGATGTGTGTTGTTTTCATTTATTGAACACAAGAGTAAGTTGTGACCCTTATTTCTATTATATTTGAGCCACCAGTATCATCATTATTATGTTATCTATAGTCAAAATGTATGAAATTCATAACAGATCTTTACTTTCTGAACTGTCTGCATATAGATTTTCTACGAGAAGAAGCATTTTTTTTTGTTATTACATTAAAGAGCCAATGGAGAACAGAATAGAAACTCACAGATATTTTCATTACTCTAACAGTGTTTTGAAGGTATTTATAGTAGTTTTATTTTTTAACACAACCAGAATTATAGTGTATATTTTCAAGGGAGCAATCTATCATAAGACAATAGCATAATGTTCACCCTAAACCAGTCACATGGGAATGCTTTTAAAGGATCAATTCATTTTGATGATTTTGCAATTCACAATAAAACTACAAATGCCTAAAATCCAAATAGCTCATCACTGCTCTGCCCCCAAGATTCAATGCTTTTAAGATTCTTCTTTATATATTTATTAAGGTTTTACATGTTTTGATTAAAACACCATACTCTGTTATCATTATTTTTTCTCACGTTTTTACTAGGCTGTTTTCAATATATTGTTCTTAGATTAACCTGATCTCATCTAAGTTGGTTTGAAACAAGATAAGAATAAACCATGTCCAAACATATATCTAAGATTTAGAACAGGAAAAACCATGGGTCTTATGAAGATGATGATTGGTACTGAATTTATTTCTTACTCGCTTCACTATTTTTCATATCGTTAATCGCACTATAGTAAGGGATTAGTTTTTTATTGAAACTTTGTATCTTGCAAGTTAGTTACCTGTATTTGTTGGGATTTAGTGTATAGGGTTAGATCACAAACTGTTCTTTGGGTGGAAAAACATTTCAAAGGTGGAGTCTTTTTTTGATGTTCCAATACTTGATGAGCTTCGGTATGCTCCTGACGATTTTACTACCGTCAACATCCAAGAAGGTAAAACTCTAGACATAGATGGGCTTATTTATGAATTTGTCACGGTATTGACTATTGATGAAAATTCAACTTTTCTTATGTAATGTGTTAGTTTCAAATGTACAGAGGTGTAAGTTTGCTATCACTATGCATATATGTCAGTGAAGAGAAAGCAAATAAGATATACCCAAAGTATTTCATAAAAAGTTTCCTGCGAGAGCTACTTTGGGATCGGTTTTTTGATTAACAATGAGTCAATGACGTCTAGAATAAGCTTGAAGGTAGAGTATTCTCATTTTATTGACATGGGATTTCTTTCTATTAGTAAGCAACATTATAGATTAGAGATTATTTTAACAATTTGTCACAAAACATTGATAGTTGTCATTTTCCTTCATTGATTTGTGTTTACATTTTTAAGAAAATTATACTCCCTCATCAACATTTCTAGACCTTTCTCTCAACATTATTAGATCATGTTTGCTAACCACCCCTCTAGATCAAATAACTATTTACTTTGAATTGACTATTTAAATTTGTATTCGCGACTACTTTGTATAAACTATTGTATTATTTTGATGGAAGAACTAATTCCTAACTTTAAAAAACTCTAATTACTTACGTATATTTCATTATAAGAAAAGGGTTATACATGGTATTTGGAATCTGGTCTTCTGTGTTTGTACATAGCTCTTTCTATACACCATTTGGATGATTCGGTTTGGCTTTTTTAGCTTTTAAGTTTCTTGCTCATTATGATTTCAGGATCAATTAAGATACAAAAAATAACTAGATTCAAATATCTAGACATAAAAAAGTATCATAGTTTTTTGTTTCTACTCAACTATTTTATCCTATCATATCCTACTATATACAATGCTTGGATGGTTTTTTGGAATAGTGTTCCTGCCAAAACCATCGAGTAGTGAGTTTGGGTATGGACCGGGCCAAGTGGGCAGAGTGATGGGTAGTGAGTTCAGGAATGGATCGGGCCAAGTGGGTTGACTGACGTGATTGATAGCTTGGACATCTTCAGGTCAAATCATGGATACATTTCTCCATAAAGTTAAAGTAGTGTCAAATCTATCTCTTTGCTCAATGTACTTTATGTCAAATCCATTTGATTTATACTTTTCCTTTTTCCAAGCATTTAATGGATCTGGAAATAACTTTATTTTCTAAACTTTATGTCAAAACAAAATAAATAAATGAGTAGTGTATTGATATGGATACACATGTGTAGGTATGTTGGTGTGTGGCTCGATGCAAATTTTATGAAATAAACAGGTAGTGTATTGATATAGAACCGCGTGTGTAGTGATGTTGGTGCGTGACTCGATGCAAATTTTATGTCAAATCAAGATAAATAAATAGGTAGTGTATTGATATAGAACCGCGTGCGTTGTAATCTTGGTGCGTGGCTCGATGTAAACTTTATGTGAAATCAAATTAAATAAATGAGTGGTGTATTGCTATAAAACCGTGTGCGTAGTAAAATTTGTGTGCAACTCAATGTAAACATTATATCAAATTAAAATAAATCAGTGTGTAGTGGGTATGGAATCACGCGCGTATTAGTATTGGTGTGTGGTTCGATTCAAACTTTATGTCAAATCATAATAAATAAATGAGTATTTTATTGATATAGAACCGCGTGCGTAGTAAAGTTGGTGTGTGACTATGCATACTTTATGTCAAATCATATTAAAGGAATAGAATTATTAAATCAAGATATTTAATGAATAGATTGATTGTCCAATTATATATATTACTATATTCCAAACATTTCATACCTCTCATTCTAATTGGGCCCCACTTTTAAAAAATGTCTCAAAAGATTCAAAGAGTATGTGTAATGCACATACGAGATTGGCAATTATCGAACCATTTGGATGCTTATCCTACGAGCTGTTCGTGTCTACTTTGTTCTGACTTGGGCAAAAGGGGAAGATTCAATGGAAGTGATCTTTCATGATGAATATGTATAGTATTTACATTTTTTATTATTTGATTATATGCTATTATTATAATTTAATTTTATCATTTCTTTCATCAATGTTTTTCCTAATTATATAGTTTATAATTAGGCCGTGCAACGCACGGGTACGAGTCTAGTATAAATCAAAGGGTAAAATGCTCATACTGCAAAAAAACATTTTTACCTCAATTAGAATATGTAAATCAAAGGGTAAAATGCTTATACGGCAAAAAACCATTTTTACCTTCTACTCTGATATTTGGCCAGTTTTGACGTTTTCAGTTAATTATTTTCAATTTTTAACCACGTGCACCGCGACGAACTGAACGGTTTAAAATTCTAAACAAAAAAATTTTAACGATCATTATATATTCTTAATTGAATACGGAGTATTTCACTATGATGCTTTTAAGCGTGAATGTTAGCTTTTTTTGTAAGGTACTAAAAATGTTGGAAAGTATTCTATATGTAATGTCATGTATCCAGCATGCTCTTTTGATGAATTTTTAGAATGTTAATTATATGTATGCCTATTATGATTATGATGAATGTTAATTTTTTGTTGTGAAATTCCAAATTTAGAAAGATAAATATTAGTAATTTATCATTTTCTACGCTTGCAAGAAATGGACAACGTATTTTTTTTATTCTTAACTTTTTAAGTAAAACATCATACTCTTTTTGTCCCATTTTAAATTACTTCTTTTGTTATTTGTTCGTCCCAAAATAAATTGTTTGTTTTTCTTATAACAATAAACTTTTAAGGGTAAAATATTCTAAATTTAGAACGATAAATATTAGCAATGTATCATTCTCTACAAATGTAGTTTATAAAGAAATGTTTCAAAACATTTAACACTTCATATTGACTTTGGTCATTACTGTATAGGATTCCCGTTTTAGGGAATTATATTAAATTATGTACTCATTCAGATTTTGTAACATTTTTCATTATTCCAAACATTCACTAATTGTAACAAATAAATTCCCGCCGAGGGAAGATTTGGAGCTGGAATTTCTTCACAGAGAAAATCTGCTTTAGTAAAGCCGTTTCTTACAAAAAAAAAATTAAAAAATTGGCTTTAACAAAGCCGTTTTTTGTAAAAAAAAATTAAAAAACAAATTGGCATTGTAAAAGCCGTTTTTTGTTTTAAAAAAATTTAAAAAAATGGCTTTCATAAAGCGATTTTTACATTCCATAAAAAATACACACTTACGTTTAAAAAAAAATTGTGCCATTTCATAAACCATTTTTTTAAATAAAAAGAAATACTTTTTATGATTCAGTATATAATTTGTTTAAAAAAAATTAACCAATAAAAATTTAATAAAGAGATGTTCAACAAGAAAAAGTACGCAATATTGAAAACATAAATATACTAAAACATCAACAGAAAATTACATTCTCAACATCTGAAGACTACCTTCGTAGCGATGCAACATTTCATAAACTCTATCATCATGAAAAATTGTTGGAAGACTAGCTTCGTAGCAAACCGGAGAGACTTTGTTGTCTATAAAATCCGGGTTATGCCACACCTCACGCGAACGATGTGTAGCTTGTAAAGTAAGAATGTCCCTCGATCTAGGATCCGCTATTTCTCTCTCAGGATCATACATTATGCTTCAAAAAAAAAATCTAATGAGCTTCTATCTACTCATAGTACAATAAAATGGTTAAAAAAATTTGGAGTAAATTCCATAAAAGGTCCCCAGTTATAGGTCGTTTTACATATTTAGTCCCTACATATCAAATATTACTAATTTGATCCCCAATTATTATATTTATTTCTACGAATGGTCCTTTGTTAACATTTTCATTAAAACGTGGATAAAATTATAAATTCACACTCCTTTCTCTCCTCAATTAAGCTTTCTCCTCCCTTGTACTCCTTTCTCAAACCCGTCGCTGAGTTTCTAGCTTTGAACCCTAAACCAAAATCATCACTCTTCTCTCAATTGTTTGTCTAACTGGAGGAACGATTATTTAAATTTTGGGTTTAAGACGAAGTTTGAGTCGCTGCTCAAACCCTTTCTCATACTCTTCTACTTCTTTCGAATTAACTCCTCTCTCTCTTCATACTTATATGTTAAAATAGGTGCAAGAATTGCCTTTACAATTGTTTCCTGGTAAGCACCTTTATTTATATTATTAACCCCTGATTTAATCATTATAAACTATACTAGGGACTAAATATGTAAAACAACCTATAACTGGGGACCTTTTATATAATTTACTCAAAAAATATGTATTACATATTGTAAAATTTAAAAATATGCATTACACATTGTAAAATTTAAAAAAAATATGCATTACATATTGTAAAATTAAAAAAAATGTATTATATATTGTAAAATAAAAAAAATATGTATTACATATTTAAAAAACTTATAAAGAATTATTCTAAGAAAACATACTTCAACTTCTTGAATGATTATTGAAGAATAGATAAGTTTTGAATATTTAGTGAGAAAAGAAGAGAAAGAATGTGAGATGTAATTGAAAAGATTATGAATTTTGTGTAAAAAGAAGTACGGAGTAAAAGATTTGATTATTTGTAGTGGAATTGTGAGGAGTAGTAGTTGAAGAGAATAGGTGTGGAAATAGGGAGAGGTGGAGTGTGAAATGGAGAGAGGGGAGGGGTCACTGCGCATGCACTGCGCATGTACTGCACATTTGTACTGTAGCACTGAAAATGGCTTTGTAAAAGCCGAAAAATTTTAATTTAAAAATAAAAAAAGAAAATGACTTTATGAAAGCCGAAAACCATTAAAAAAAATTAAAAAAAAACGGATTGTCAAAAGCCGATTTTTCTCAGGAATTTACCTTTCTCATTTGGGAATTACATTCAAAATTTTTTCCCTCTCAGGGAAACCACCCAATTGTAACAGCCCCTGCATCACGGATACCAGTATAGTTTAAACAAACCACCTTCCTTCCTCAGTCCCCACTCCACACCGGTTTTAAGTTGGGACTCTCTCTCTCTCTCTCTCTCTCTCTCGGCGTTCTCTCTATCGGCAAACAGTTTTCTTCTCAGGCTGGTAAGTACCAGGCGATTGAAGGTGAAAATGGAAGAATACTTGCAATGCATGAAGACTCTGCGCTCTCAGATGAACGGTTTTTCCTTCATCTCTATCTCCATCCCTGTATAATTTTAAGGATTAGCTTTAATTCTCGACTAGTTATGGCTGTTACTCGCATCTACACATGTATATATATATTCACACATTTGCGTTGGCGTTTCCAGATGTGGAGGATCAAGCGGCAACAATATCCGCTGAAGAGCAGATGCTTCTCACTACCGTTCAGACGCTGGAAGGAGACCTCAGTTCAGGTTTTATGCGAATTCCAAAATCTCCATGTTAGACTGCCTGCAAAATACTCGCTGAGCTGTAGTGATTAAATCATTGATTTTCCGTAGAATTTGATTTATTTGTCGATTCGCTTCATTGGCATGGTGGTCCATTGAAATTTGTGTGTTTACAATGCAAATTTAAACACAGTGATGCTCTTTCTGGTACTGCTAGAATGATAGGGTTGGACTAGTTCTAGGTATTGAAGAAAAAATGTTTGTACGGAATGAAGCCTATTGCTTCAAATTGATGTGATTGAACCTTAAAATGTGCTGGACATATTAGGCGAACTTGTGGAATTCTATTTCATTAAGTGGGGTTCTTTCTATTGCCACCACAACACTACTTTTCAATTAAGCATCTCTTCTGTCCCCAATTTTAGCCATACTCCTTCCACAAACATGCACAAACACCAGCATGATTGTGAGTTCTGTGTGTGTGAAGGAAAAAATGGGGTGGGAGCAAACTTGAGGTCATTTTAGCCTTTTTGGTATAACTTTCGTTCCAACAGAAAAATGTTGTTGGGATTGAGGCGGTGATGAATAAAGAACTCGAAAGGTCTCACCTAATGCCTAAACAATAATTGCAGTGAAAAGGCAGACACTTCAGATCAAGGAGGAAACTGACAAAATGGTGAAGGAAAAGGGAGAAATCTGCTCCTTGATCTTGCAGAAACAGAGAAAATTTTCCACTTTGGAAGCTAATTTGTCCTCCCTCTATCAGGCATCCATTTTGATTATTTTTGTTTAATTTGAAATGCAAGCAAGGAAATTGTGAATATTCTTTTTATTTTTTCTAGTGGAAAATATCAGAATCTAAAAAATTGTTGCCTCATGTGAAATGCTCTTTTTTCGTATTGCTTGACCAATGCATAATGTCTGAATGGTGTGATCTACTTACCTCTCGGTGGATGATGATCAGTGGCGGATCCACTAAGGAAGAGTAGGGGGCAAATGCCCCCAACTAATTTCTTGTGATAAGGTTAAAAATATTATTTTTTAAAATTTTATATACATATGCCCCCAACAAAAAATTAATGTGATCTTATCTAATTTTGTCAAATTTAAATTTTTTTAGTAAAGAGTATTTTATTGTATAAAATTAATTGTTTATAAAATAAAATTTCACTTTACATATTAAAAAATATTTTACATTTAATAAATATTTGAAATAAGACTTATTATTTTTTGTCATTTCAAATAGCTTATCAAAAAATGTAGCAACGCTTCTAGACTACCGATCAATGATGCCCCCATCTACTTCAATTCCTGGATCTGCCACTGATGATGAACAAAGTGAATGAATAAAACGGTACAGATATGGTGGGTTCGTATGAGTACCTCATGTCATCTTTTATGTATGAATAGTGTTTTTGCAGGTAGGAACTTCTTACTAGATAACCTATCTCCCTGATATTTTGAAAGTTGTTCTACCTTAACCAACATTGTCTAGCATCTATATATTGGTCTGGCCTAAGCTTTGAATGGAAATCTTCTTTTACATGTAATCATTTGTCTTGCTACCAACCATAATTGGAAGATGTTTAGCATCTCTGAATCTCTGGTTATCTACGTCATTCAATCCTTTATTATCATTGACTAGCTTTAAGTTAAGACCTCAATTTAGAATTATTTTAAGCAAAAATATTCACGAAATACCATCCTCACATATACATGCTAATAGTCCATTACTCTATATGGTTAACTGATTCAGCTTAAAATTGTTATGATTGTCGTAGCTATCATCATTTTTACCAACTAAATTTAATAAGACATGTGGTTTTACTTTCCTTATCCCCTTCTTTTTCGAATGAGATCAATAGTAAATTTTTGATCCCTTTTATTTTTGTTTTCCAGACATTGGATCTTATTCAACAAGAAAGAGGGAACTTGTCAGTAAAACTTTCAGAGAAGAGGTAATTTATACTTTGAAGTGCTTCCGCCAAAGGTTTTCTATATTGGCAAGGGTTAAATTTATAATTATTTCTTGTTCCAGAAAATACTATTCCACTGCTTTTGAGAATATCACCAATCAGTTGAAAGAGCAACAGGTTTGACATCTTCATTACACACAGTGTTCCCCCCCCCATCATTTGCATATTTAGATGTGTAAATGATGTTATGCCAACCAGCGTTGGATGGATGATCACAAGTATTCCTCATTGATTGGAGAGAATTCTCAGGTAATTTCGTATAGAGCTTTCCATCTTATGCTTACTCTATGTGCAATTTTTTTTCTTGTCACATAACCAAGCTCATCATTGAATTGGATTTTCTATTAGCTTTTCAAGCCTCTGATTATATTTGATATAATGCTTGTTATGCTATGAGCAATGGTTAAATGCTGCAGGAAAGTGATACAACTTACAAGAAACCTGATGAACTTGAAGGTAAGGGAATTCGGTAGTGCATTCTCAAATTGACTTTAAGGAACTGTTCCTTAGCATCTGCTACACCATACCAGAGTTGTGCATAGGTATGATAATGCGGAGTATGTTGTAATAAATCACTACATGTCATGCACTGTGATGGAACTTAATCCACACGGTGCTATCAGTCCCGTGACATCAGTGATCGACTGACCAGAGACCAACTAAAAAAGATCTAAAGTGTTGAGAGAAATAAATGGTCATAAATTCCCAAGTATCGAGTTGTAGATTGCCATTCACATTATATGGAGTCTTCCATTTATAGGGAAGATCCTTCTTTGCAGCCAACACATCTAATTGTATTATTGTTGTTAAAAGGTCTCGTGTCAATGCTGTCATGTGTGGCTATCTGGTAGGTTTCCAATAGCATATTAGCATGTATTATCGGTATATTTGTTGGCTGGTTGTTAGCTGGCAGTTCTTGCAAAACTCCCAAATCCAGGGCATAAGGCAGACCTAGGCTGTAAGGCGGACACCATGGCATAAGACTGGCTCCATGGCACATGATAGACCCTCGATGTCGGTCATATCTGCCAACCTTAAGCCCAGTAGGCCATCACTCTAACTTCAAATTTTTATAAACAAAAGAGCACCCTGAAGAGGTAATATTGTCACAACTCCATTATGGTTAACATGATGCTTGTTGGGTTGCTAATTAACATCCTGAAATTGATCATCAAATGGGAACAAATGGAAAGCTCCTTCTCTATGATGGCCTTTTTTTATTGACATGATAAAACTGTTATTTACATGAAATTGGATATATATATATATATATATATATATATACACACACACACACACACACAACACACACACACACACATACATATACATATACATGTACATATACATGTACATGTACATGTACATGTACATGTACATGTACATATACATATACATATACATATACATATACATATACATATACATATACATATACATATATATACACACACACACACGTACATACATGTATACATGCAACGCTAGGACTCTTTCAAGGATTAGACATCATTAGACAAACTGACATAGACATAGTCATATGCTACATGAAACAGTCACAGTTTTTTTAGAGGTTTAAGACTGCGTATATCTTGGCCCCCGCAGTGCCGGCCCTCCACCTGGCATAGATGCATAGTGGTTTGATGGCTTTTAGTCTTAAACTGATGTGCGCTTCACATAGAAGNNNNCATATACATATACATATACATATACATATACATATATATACACACACACACACGTACATACATGTATACATGCAACGCTAGGACTCTTTCAAGGATTAGACATCATTAGACAAACTGACATAGACATAGTCATATGCTACATGAAACAGTCACAGTTTTTTTAGAGGTTTAAGACTGCGTATATCTTGGCCCCCGCAGTGCCGGCCCTCCACCTGGCATAGATGCATAGTGGTTTGATGGCTTTTAGTCTTAAACTGATGTGCGCTTCACATAGAAGAGACTGTTGCAAGCATCCATGCATACTATTTTTCTCTCTTTTCCTGAAATAATAAAGTCTGGTTGATTTTTCAGTATTTCATGATGATGTTACCCAAAGCCTATCAGAGAACTTTGAAGCTGCTAGTCGTAAGCTACGCCTCTTGAAACAAATGAAGTCTGAACTTGAATTGGAGAACAAAAAGGTTTGCCAGTCCTTAGTTTTTTCATTTCATATTAGGTATTGTGAATATTTGTATTTGAGCCTGTACTTATGAATCAAATTATCTTGTAGACATTATTCTAAACTGTAGTATTCATTTGTGTACCAATTGTTTATATATGTAGATCTTCATTACTAAAATGAAATACTACTAAATGTTGAATTGTAAAAAAACACTTGAGTCAAATATCGTGACCTAACAATACATATATTTTCCTGTTGATGTCAAGACGCTTTCAAATGTGTTTGAAATCAATGCATCTTATGCTATCCTTTCTTTGTCTCTCCATTTCAAATCATTTGACTCTAAACATATAACACAAAGTAAAGTTTCAAAGGTTCCTGCTCACCACCAAGTGCATTTGGTACTAAGTGTATTTTAAATACACTCTGCTTGCTTGTTGCAGGCGACACAATCTCTAGAGATCATGAAGAAGAAGATAAATGATTTTAAGGTCAGTCATGATCATGTAGGGCTGGTTAATCTTCTATATTTATTTAAATGGAAAACCACATTATATTTATTTCGAAAGCCACATTATATTTATTCCTTCTTTGGAAAAAGCAGGTGGGATTAAGTTTTTTTAAACGCTGTATATGTAAATGGAAAATAAACAAGTCTTTCATCTTGAATGGGCACCTGACAGAATGTTGGTTATGATGGGTTGGTGATTTCAGCCAGAACTGAGGGAAATGGATGTGAAATTCCTTGAAAATGAGCTCCAAGCAATTTCAGCAGATAAGGTTGAACTGGCTGAGTATGTGCAGTCTTTACAGCTCCAGATTGTGAAATTGAAGGTAAACATGTTTTATCCAGTGTTTCTTTACCTGCTGGGATCTTTTGACCTTGAAACCAAGGTTATATTATGACCCGGGCCACCTACGGTGCTCTGTTGGTAAAATTGATAGTGCCTACCCCAGCACCCCAGCCCCTCCCTCCATCTCCTAGATTGCTGATTCTTGCTGCCCAAATCAGCAATCTAAGGGGGGGGACTGGGGTGGGTGTAGGGGGTTGGGGGATAGGAATTGTCAATTTTACCAACGGGGCATCGTAGGTGCCCTGGGTTATAACAGAACCTTAGGTTTCAAGGTCAAAAGATCCCCACCATTCTTTACCTAGGCTTTTTAGATACATCAATGAAAGGATAAGAATTTCACTATAGTTTTGAATTAGAATTAGTCTTTGATATCCAAATACTCTCTTTGTCCCATATAAAAGAGTGAAAAAAAAAAGGTACAACCTTTTAAGTAAGGTACAATTGCTAAAAATCATGAAGTATACTTATTTTATAATGTATTTGTTGGTTGAACTAAATTTTAACACTCATCTTATTAAACACTTTTTTTCACTCCCTCTATCACAAAATATTTCCTGCTTTTCTTTTTTCATCAATCCCGAAATAAATTTCTCACTTTCTACAACTCCGTATTAAACATCTTTTCTTAATCTCTGTGAAGCCAAACGGAGCAAGTCATTTTGGGACGGAGTATTAAAACATGATGAAAATGAGCTTCTTTTGTTCAAATTGTGCTCTTTGTTTTTGGGAGGAAATAAAGTTTTCAATTATGCTGAAATCTGAATTAAAAACATCTCAGGACATTTCACACACGGTCAGCTGTTCCTGTGGAGAGGAGTACAGGGTTGAATTGGATTGTGAGATTGACCAGGCTACCCTTCAACACTAGGTTACTCTTTCTTTGCAAGAAAACTGAAACATAGGAGTTCAAAATGGATATGCTTATTCCTCTCTTGCTTATACATTTGCATATATATAGTTAGTTATATGAAAAAAAGCATACACTAAGTTCGTACATCAACTTGCACACCAAGTGTATCAGAGTGAATCTCACACACAATTGTTATGTGTGTCTCTGATACACTTGGTGTACAAGTTGAAGTACAAACTTAGTGTACCCCTAGCACACCTCTAGTTATATACTTATATATACTTAAGACAGAATCCAAGTGCTTTTGTATCTTACTCACGCATCTTAAGTCTCAACTGTATCTTCAACGGCTTTGAATTCATAACGAATTTTTTTCACACACACACATAATTATTTTTTTATTTATTTATTTTGGAACGATCGGTTACAAGCAGGGGCCTAAAGCCGTTAACCTCGTGGCCACCCCGGGGCCCGTTAAACACCTGAGGCAGATAGCTCACTATAAGAAGCCCAATCTAAAGCTCAGTCCTATAAGTATGCAAAAATACTATATTTCAAAACTATATTTTAAAATAAACTCAATTTATTAAATTTACATAATAATGAAATATTTTTTCCATAGTTCATGGTCAATGGATGCCACTATTTGACCAAAAAAGTCAAAGGTTGTCACAGTTTAACCAAAAAAGTCAAACTGTGACAATCTTTTAGAAATAAAGAGAGTAAGTAAAGAGATGTGACTGGTCACATCCTTTTCATGTTATTTAGGGTGTTTGGAGTCTAAAGAATCTCTCACACTCTTTCATCTCAGTATTTTACTATTTCAGATTCCTTATCTCTCTTATAGAAAAGTTACTCCACTAGCCTAGAGTCTTTTAAGACAACAATTTGATATTAGTATAATCCAACTAATCTTGGAAATATGATGAGTTTGGATCCTCCTTCTATCGGACTTCCTTGTACCTACATAAAATATGTTTTGGGTACAAACAAAACATTAACCACTAGTATATGTAAACATCAGAAAATAAAAGCTACTTTGTGCCTCTTTTGTAAACACTACCTCTAGAATGCAATGTGAAAATCCATTAATAGTCTTGTAGATAAATGCTTGGAAATCTTTTGGGCATCACACGTACTGACGTACAAGTACAATGTACGTCTATAGCTAGTAACTAGCGTTGGAATGCGCATTTGCGCATTGGTTGCCCGGGGTACCCTGTTGCTGTTACTAATATATTTATAGTAAATGAGTGCATAGTGTTTAATACTTATGATAGAGGCATACGATTTACATGATGGAGTCAAAAGATAAGTTGCATCATTAAGTTTACATTGTTGCTAACTGGCATTTGCATAGTGTTTACATGATATTGAGAATCTATTCATTTCCAAATGTAGATAGAAAAGCAAAAAATAAGAAACAAACCTGCAAGTCAACAAAGAAAAGATACGCTGCGAAGTATACACCGGTAACAATCTGAGTACAAAATAAACAATAAAAAAGTTAGTTGAAAAAATTTAATTTCAAACAATAACCAAACCACAAGAGCACAAACTGAACATAATATAACTCATATAAGAAAAGATCTGGCATCAAATATACAAGACAACAGAAACACAATGAGAATCTAGAGGCTGCTCTTTTCACTATCTTGGACTGCTAATAGGCTTATAATTCTTGCACTGCTAAATCCAGAAGCAGATTTTTAATGCAAAAAATGTCAAAAAAGAAATCTACTATATTAACAATTTCAGGTTTTGAAACAAAGAATTCGTCATTATAATAAAATTCTACATCAACTAAAATTTAATTTTATCAAATTTAATTTTATAAAATTTGCCTCAACCTATGGAGTTGGTTTTGAGTTAGAAGTAAAAACCCCCATTAAACTCAAATCAAAAAGGTATAAAATCACCATTTAAATTAAAATCAAGAAAATAAAAACACAGAATACATTCAAGTAAAGAAAATAAAATTACCAATTAAATTCAAATTAAAAAAAGTTAGAAAGAGATCAAAACAGACATGGATCAGATAATTCTAGTCTGGAAAGTTTTTTTAATCCACATGCATCAATTCGGAATCAATACTCATCCCTTAGATGTATCAAAACCAAATACAAACCCAAAATAGGAGCTCACCTAAAAAAAGAACTAAGAACAGAGGCACTCCCAAATGAACATGAAAAAAAAAAATTAAAACATCCTGATCTTTAAAATCAACTGTGTGATTAAAATTGAACCTAAAACATGCTATAAGAGAACGGATGAACAAACTGACCATATGGGCAATTTCAATACAATTCAATTTTAAAAGAAGAAGAACAAGAATATATCTATTTTTTTTTCACAGCAACCCAATTCGAAATGAGCATGCAATGAATCCATAGATAAAAAAACTGTAAAATTTGTTTTTTCTTCAGATTCGCACAAAGAAGTCAAAAAAAAGATTTAAAAAAACGGCAAAAAGAAAGAGAGGTGGAATGGCAAAAACCTGGAGAAAGTAGAAGTGGTAGTGGGAAAACCGCCGCATGAGAGAAGAGTAGTGCGGTGGATCGCACAGTAAATAAACCGACGTTATAAACAAACGGAAAAAAACACATTATAAACGCAATAGGCAATTATAAAATTAGGGAGAGATAATATAGCAATATTACGTCTTGTTTTTAAATATTTTGTATACAAAAGTACGAATTTTATTACACCCATTATACTGTATTAAGAATTTTACCAAGTTAAACTAAAAAAGAATTCAAGACGAGAAAACTAATTTTGCAGTACCAGTTTAAATAAGAGTCATGCTAGAAACTCACCACGATTGACAATAGTCTGTGAATTTACACACACATAGATGATAAGCGTTAGTGAACACACAAAGCTTAGAGACGACATTGGTGTCACTTGTTGCGGGTTTGGAGTATTTTTGTTTAAAATAAAATAACATCTATTAATATCATAAATTCAGTTGTTCCCTTATTGTCATATTTGCCTTTTCTTCACAAAAATTCATCTTCAAAAGAAAAGGTAAATGGAAAGCTAATTTACATTCTTTTATTTTGGGAGGTATATTTACGTTATCCAATACCATAGATAAAAATAAAAAAAACCTTTTTCCCATTAATTTTCCATTTATTTTTTCACGATTTTAATGTAATATCTTAACTATTACAGTAATATTTTTATTTTTATATAAACATATATTATAAAAATAATTTACGTAATATGTCAAACTCATATTTCAAAATGAATCTGTTAATAAAGACTATATGAAAATTTAATACTCCTATATCTTTTCCGTAGTAATATGTAATCAAAGTTAAAAAATTTGATTGGATAAATTAGATTGGAAAGTTCATTCCTTTCCGCAGTCTCCCTTTTGTTTGGCGATTCCTCCATTTATTTTCTTGCTATTTCTTCGCATCGACCAGCTAAACCGGATCCCCTGCTTTCCACCTTGCGACGACCTGACGGGCTCGCCGGCGTCCGACTTCGACGACGCGCAGAGACGAACGAAGAAGATAACCTACTGTCAGGTTATGTTTTCTCCTTTTTTACGCCAATCTTTCTGACATTCTTCTTTGTGGATTCGATTTCTTACATCGACGTAGATTAGGGATTATTATTTTAAAATTGTGCCATTTCTTGCTGCTTTTATGGGAGCTTCACTTTTTAGCTTCGAATTACAGTACTTCATTCTTTAAAAAAAAATTTGAAAAAATCTGGAAAAAAAAACGATGGCATTATGGTTAATAAATTGAACTTTACTCCCAGTGCAGAAAATGCACTACCACAATGTAAAAATTCATCGTGACGGCATAAAAATGCATGATAAGATCTATTCCCGCAGTAAGGACCATTCTCACTTGAACCAACCCCCTATACACACACACACACACTCCATCTCTAACCTATTTGTTTGGAATTTGACTAATTTGAGTTAAACTAGATACATTTTAATCATCAGTTACATTAGATTTGCATTACATTATTTACATATTAATCTAAAGAAATAAATTTATGATATTTTTTTGCAAGACAAATCAAATGAAATTCTGTTTGTACTAATGTCCCATACAATTTTTATTTAATTGCCAATCAAAGCTTGTCTCATTTGATTCAAAAATGTCAAACCGGACGAATACTCTGGGACGAAAGTAGTGTTCGACATGGTACTGAGAACTGAGAAGAGATGGCACCTTTGATTGAATTGATTCATCTCCATTCTCCTTCTTAGTTTAATTCATCTCATTCTAAAAACTAAAACAAAGTGCACTTTACCAGCCGTCAATTGATGACATTGAGCTGGGCTATGAGCCGGTAAAAGATCATTGAACGTACTGAAACAGAATGTACATTTGTGCTAGATATTTGGTTAACTGATGCGATTGTATTTGCTTATTTTCTTTCGATTGTAATGTTATTGTCTTTTGATTGGTTTTGAGATTATTACTCCCTCCGTCCCACTATTTTTAAAGAATGAATGTGAACCACACAAATGAGAGCACTAGACGAAGGAGCCAAAATGGGAGTGCTTCGTCAATATCTGCCGGTAAGGAGCCAAAATGGGAGTACTTCGTCAGGCGTTCAACCACAGCTAGGATAGTAGAAGCCCCACGGGAGGGTGGCAGACCGGTGATGAAATCCATTGAAGCTGATTCCCAGACCTGATCGGGCGTGGGCAGGGGCTGTAGCAAGCCCGCGGGCTTCCGCGTAGAATACTTTGTGGTTTGGCAGGCTAAACAAGCGGCCACAAATTGCCGTACGTCCTTGCGCATGCCTGGCCAATAGAAGGTGGTGGCGAGGCGGTGGAACGTCCGCTCCACTCCTTGGTGTCCTGCCATTGGGGAGCTGTGGTATTCGGCGAGCAACTGATGGCGCAAGGGGGATACCGAACTGAGGACCAGGCGGTGGCGATAATAGAGTAACCCATCGTGCACGGAGAAGTCTGCCTTCGCTGACCCAGCTGTGACCGCAGCATGCAGCTGCTGGAGTTCAGAATCCTGTGAATTTTCGGCGGCCAAGGCGTCTAGTAGCTTCGGGAGTGGACGGGAGTAAGTGGTGAATAGAGTGGCTAGTTCGGCGTCGTCGTCCCGGCGGGAGAGGGCATCGGCGGCGCGATTGGAAGCCCCGGTTTTATACTCAATACGAAATTTGTACCCCATGAGTTTGCGGATATAAAATTGTTGATCCGGTGTTTGGACTACTTGATGGAGAAGTTCTTTTAGGCTGCGTTGATCACTCCGAATCACAAATTCGCGGCCGAGCAAATATTGACGCCATTTTTGCACCGCCTCAACAATAGCATATAGTTCCTTATGGTAAGTGGAAGCGAGACGGCGGCGAGGCCCCAACTTTTTACTGAAGAAAGCCAGTGGGTGACCGTGTTGTAGTAGAACCGCACCGACACCGGAGTTAGACGCGTCGGTCTCCAGGTAGAAGACTTGGTTGAAGTCGGGGAGGCGCAATACAGGAGCCGTGGTCATTGCTGTTTTCAAGGCCGCAAAGCTTGTGTCGGCCGTCGCATCCCACAAGAAGTTATTCTTCTTGAGGAGGTCGGTTAAAGGTGAGGCCAGAATTGCATAGCCGGAGATGAAGCGCCGGTAATAGCCAGTTAACCCGAGAAAGGCCCGCAGTTGGGTGACGGATGCGGGCTTCGGCCATGCGACCATTGCGGCAATCTTTTCTGGGTCTGGTTTTAGCACTCCCGCTTCAATGATATGTCCCAAATAGCCTATTTGAGATTTGCACAAGGAGCATTTTTGGAGTTTGATGTAAAAGGAATGGCGGTGAAGGGTCTCCAGGACTGTTGCCAGGTGGTAGGCGTGTGCTTCGGTGTTCGGACTGTAGACCAAGATATCGTCGAAGAAGACGATCACAAATTGCCGTAAGTGGGGGCGGAAGAGGCTGTTCATAGCGGCTTGGAATGTAGAGGGGGCATTTGTGAGGCCGAACGGCATGACCAAGAACTCATAGTGGCCCTCATGCGTTCGGAAGGCTGTTTTGAACACGTCATCCCCATGCATGCGGATTTGATGGTACCCCGAACGGAGATCCAATTTAGTAAAGACCCGCGCCGACCCAAGCTCATCAAATAGTTCATCGGAGGTCAGAATGGGAAAGTGATCCGGGACCGTAGCTGTGTTTAGGGCCCGGTAATCAACACAAAACCGGAAGGTACCATCTTTCTTGCGGACGAGAAGCACCGGGGAGGAGAAGGGGCTCAAGCTTGGACGAATTATCCCTTGGTTCAACATTTCCCGGACCTGCCTTTCAATCTCTGTCTTCTGGAAGTATGGGTAACGGTAAGGGCGGACGTTGATTGGACGGGTACCTGGTGTGAGGTGGATACGGTGATCCCAGAACCGAGGCGGTGGCAGCCCTGTGGGTGTCCCAAAAACAGCCGCATGGGCCTGGAGAAGAGCAGTAATGGCCTGGGGTAGATCCTCGGGAAAATTGGGCGGCTAGGGGGCTGTCGGTGGCTGCACCGCCGGGGAGGGTACCATCTCATATAAGTCCACTGGAGTGGAAGACAAAAGCATGGCACTTAGTCGATTGAAAGAGACCGGGCGTGGTTCCGGCGTGTCGCCCCGTAGTGTGATGGTTTCGCCGTTCCAAACAAATTCCATGGTGAGTTTGGCATAATCATGTGAAACTTTACCCAACGTTTGCAACCATTGCACCCCAAGCACAATATCCGGGCCGTGAACCTCAAGCATAAACAAATCAATCTCAAAGAGGTGGCCTTGGAGGGACAACGGGGTGCGAGGACAATTATAAGAGCACCGGAGCGAGTCACCATTACCCACATAGACACGGAAGGGCGAAACNTCATATAAGTCCACTGGAGTGGAAGACAAAAGCATGGCACTTAGTCGATTGAAAGAGACCGGGCGTGGTTCCGGCGTGTCGCCCCGTAGTGTGATGGTTTCGCCGTTCCAAACAAATTCCATGGTGAGTTTGGCATAATCATGTGAAACTTTACCCAACGTTTGCAACCATTGCACCCCAAGCACAATATCCGGGCCGTGAACCTCAAGCATAAACAAATCAATCTCAAAGAGGTGGCCTTGGAGGGACAACGGGGTGCGAGGACAATTATAAGAGCACCGGAGCGAGTCACCATTACCCACATAGACACGGAAGGGCGAAACAGGGTGAAGCACCAGGGACAGGCGTTCCGCGACTCCGGGATGGATGAAATTGTGCGTGCTTCCGCTGTCGAGAAGGACTTGGACTCCCTTGCCATTAACCGAGCCTGCCAATTTAAGAGAGCGGGGGTTCGGGCTGCCCGACATGGAATGAATGCTCGAAACATCTCCTGTGATAACGGCAGTAGGATCGGGCATGTCTGGTGTAGGCTCACTGGTCGGGGGCAGCTCTTCTTCATCGTCCGGACGCATGAGTGCCAAGAAACGCCGACGACAATTATGGCTACGGTCCCACTTCTCTTCACACCACCAACAAAGGCCTTTCTTGCTACGTTCCGCCTTTTCCGCCGGAAAGACTGTCACGACCGGAAGGTTGCCGGGAAAAGGGCGGTCCGGCGGTTTGGGCAGCCCCGGCGCTGTGCGGGTTTGGGGTGGTGGAGTGGGTAGTATGCCGGCAGAGGACGGTGGTGGGCGATTCGGCCAAGGGCGGCGTGGTGATGTCCCAAAAGTCACCGCGGCCTCTTGATGACATGCTGATAGCTCCCGTGCCAAGGCAAAGGCGGACTGGAGAGTGGTCGGGTTGCGAAGATTAAGCTCCCGCTGAACCGGTTGTTTCAAACCAGCCACAAACATGGAAATCAGTGTCGCCTCAGGAACCCCCGAAACCTTATTAAGCAAGGATTCAAAAGCCGTCTGGTAGTCCAAAACCGACGATGTCTGAGTTAACTTGGACAGCAAGCCAACATAATTCTCGTAGTAGTCTGGATCAAACCGTTGCTGGACGGCGACCAAAAAATCCGCCCAAGATGCGCCGTGTGTGTTGGACTGTGTTGGACTGGTAGTAGTGAAACCAATCAGATGTCGGGTGGTCAATCAACATGGCGACTAGCTGGAGCCGTTTAGGCTCAGGCGTGAGAAAATAATCAAAATATTTCTGGATACGGAAGATCCAGCCCGTGGGGTCGTCGCCGTTGAAACGGGGAGCGTCAACTCGCATACGGGGCACCGGATCGGCGCTGCCAGCCGTTGTGCGAGAGGGTGGTGGTCGCCAACCTGTGCACGGCTGCCGGTTGGGCACTGCTGTCTCGTTGGGTTTGGCGGCAGCAAGCTCGGTTACCCGCGCCTTAGTGGCGTGCAGATCTTTTCGGATGTCGGTGATAGCATGCATAATATCTTCGAGAGTCAACGCCGAGGAAGGGGTGTCGGATGAAGCCATGAACACGAAGATGGAGCACCAATTTGATACGACGAAGTAGCTTCGATGACCGGCCGGAGCACAAGGCGTGCGCGGCTAGGGTTTGGGAGAGGGAAAGCTGACGTGAGGGAGAAGAGAATTTAGAGAGAGAAAGAGGTTTTAGGAGAAAGGGTTTGTTATTTCGTAAGGAAAAGAGAGGTTAAGGCTCCCTTAAATAACAACAACTTTCCCAATCCTACTTGAACTAGATTATCTATCCGGTCGGTTCAAAGAAAAGCGACGAGGTAAAGAACCGAAAAGAAACCCTCGAAGGAGCTTATAATTCGCTCACCTAAAAAAAATCTAGAGTACAAAAATAAATGAATTACAAAATAAATTAAATATAATCTTGATAACGTCTTGGGGGTCGAACGGTCCTCTTTGGTCGCGCATGTGAAACAACAGTATCACCTGTGTCGTCTTGCATGCCGGGTACGTCCACGTCACCCGTATCAGTATGAGACTATGAGATTAAAATCGTGAGACGTAAAAAAAAACAAAGTAAAAAGGAACAAAAATAGTGGGGCAGAAGGAGTATAATTTGCATCCAAGTTTCTTTATTTATCAGATTTGCCATAGGTACACAACATATGTGTTCTAAAAATTTCTTATTTTCAATGGTGAATTTATTTGATAGACATTGTATTTTATTTCATTATTGTTTTTCACATCCTGGTTGAACAATTACCTGATTATTACTTACGTTCAATTATAAAATCCTACTCCTCAATAATTAACCATTCCAACTTCTCTACTCAATATGTGATCAGTTTAATTGGTTTTTTGTCTTCTTAAGATTAAAGTTTAAAATATTCAAATAGTCCATCAAAATAAGCTGAAAACAAAGTTTTTAAAGCTAATTCAATTCTCAAATCTGTTTTTAAATTATACGAGATTCTTCGTTTCAAAGCTGGTATAGTTCAAACTGCCTTTTAACCATTTATCAAAATTGAACCTATATTAAAATACTTGAAACCTTATCGTTTATGTATCATCTCCAATACAGTTAATGTCACTTTGTTTCCAGATATTATTTGTGAAAGCCGATGCCTTTGCATGGACCGCCGCTTCCAAGGCTTCTCCTTAACAATGTGGGTTGCATGAGAAATGCACAGCAAATCCTTCGCCACGTAAATGTTTCTCTCCATGATGGTGGAGCACTTGTACTGACGGGCACCAATGGCTCCGGAAAAAGCACCTTTCTCCGGATGTTAGCTGGTTTTGCCAAACCGTCAGCGGGTGAGATACTTTGGAATGGTCATGACATCACTAATTCAGGCGTTTTTGAGCAGTACAAACTGCAGCTCAACTGGCTCTCCCTTAAGGTATGTTTGGATCGCGGAAGATCCGTTGTAAAGAAAAAAGATGCCAAGGAAAACGAAACACAATTTTTTTCTGAATAAAAATACCCATGTTCTTATTTCTTAGATTCATTTTGATAGTCATAAAAAAAAAGTAAAATGAGTATCAAAAGATATCTAAAATGAAAGGGAAATGACATTGTACACCAAAAATTGTACTCCACTTTGTACCCTGAAGGCATGCACCAACATTTTGTACTAGCGTGATGCTTTACAATGACACAAAATGTCAGAGTAATTCTTTTATTGAACTAACATTTTGTGCGAGTGTGAATCGTTAAAATGCTGGTGCATCCATTTGGGGTACAACTTGGGGTGCACTTCTTGGTGTACCCTTGCATGGTTGAAAATGAAATCATCGACTTTTGGCATATCTTCAACTCTCCTCCCACATTTTTTTTCTTTTCAATTTCCTCGATATTTTCCAGTCCTAATTTCTTTCCCTGTATTTTCCCGGTTCCAAATGGACACCCACCCTTAAGGATGCTGTCAAGGAGAAGTTCACAGTCCTAGACAATGTTCAATGGTTTGAAGTGCTCGAAGGGAAGCAGGGGAAGTCATTGCCGGCATTAGAGCTGGTGGGGCTGGGGAGATTGGCGAACGAGAAGTCAAGAATGCTGTCCATGGGTCAAAGGAAGAGGTTACAGATTGCGAGGCTGTTGGCAATTGATAGGCCGATTTGGCTGCTCGACGAACCCTCGGTGGCATTGGACGATGAAGGCGTGAAGATTCTGGAGGCCATTATCGCGGACCACAGGAAGAAGGGCGGTATCGTCATTGTGGCAACGCATCTGCCCATTCAGATTGAGGATGCTATGCATTTGAGGTTGCCCCCAAGGTTCCCTAGAAGAATGACTTTGGTAGACATGCTTGATCGCGGCGGATTGGACTGATGATACCTGAGGATCATTAGCCTGCGATTGGAAGCCCGCGATGTTCCTCTCAATGGTAGGCATCCTTGTTTTGTTTTCTTAAGAATATACTACCTCCGTCCTAGTATATTTGTCCAGTTTGACTTTTTTGAGTCAAACTGGATAAACTTTGAACTTCAATTACTCTCAATTTGTATTGCATATTAGCATAATAAAATACAAATTTGAAAGTTCTCAGTACGAGATAAATTCAGTAAAGCCATTTTTATGTTAACATATATTACGGTTTTTATTTAATTGGAGCTCAAAGTTTGTCCAGTTTGACTCAAAAAAGTCAAATCAGAAATATACATTGAGACGGATGGAGTAGGTCCTAACTGTTAGGATGGCTTTTCTTTGGGAAATTTGTATATATAACCTAACTGAGGGATGGGAAAATCTCATCTGTTGGTGTCTGATTTGCAGAGGTTATTTGTGTAATTTGTGTTAGATTTTATGCTTTGTTTTGTGTTTTGGGTTTTATTGCTTTTGTCTGTGCTTGGGTTTGGTGTTCTTTGGATTATGCTTGGGTCGGTTTTTGGAGTAATGATTTGTTGCTTATATGAGAAAGTCAATGGTTTCTTATATAGATTTTATGTTTTGTTTCACATTTTGGGTTTTGTTGCCTTTGTTTTCGTCTCCAATTTGGGTGGGTGTTCTTTGGCTTATGTTTTGTCTCCACCCTGACCCCACCCCAGTTTGTCGTTTTGTTATAGTAAGGGGGTAGGGGGTGTATTCAATCCGGATTCTGATAGATTTTGTTGGATTCTAAAAATCCGTAGGTATTCAATTCAGAATTTAAAAAGTAATTTAAAATCTGGGTGTATTCAATTCAAACTTTAAAAAATCTTTCTAAGTATGATGGTATTCAAAAATTGATGGATTTTTAAAGATTTTAAAAATTGTGGATTTTGATGGATTTTCATGCCTTGGGTATAAATACAAATCCAATTTCCAAATCCAATCAAAAGACCTGGGATTTTGCCTGCTCCTATGCTCGTTCTTCATCTTCTCTCGTCCCTGCCTGTTCTTCTGCGTCGCCGGAGCTCGGAACCCCGATGGAAGGCCTTCCTCGGCTCACGCTGCTCTACTGTCGGGGTGTTGTTGGCCGCTGCAATCCTATCGCCGAGGAGGTCACCATCGTCACTGAGGAGGTCGTCCTATCGCCGATGAAGTCGTCTTGTTCGCCGTAAGAAAGCCGGGAGGAAGATGGAGGAGAAAAAAGAAAAGAAAAGAAAAAGAAAAAAAAGGAAAGAAAACATAGAAAGAAGGAAATGGGCGGCGCGGCTAGGGTTCCTGGGGGATGGAGGAGAAAAAAGAAAAGAAAAAGAAAAAGAAAAGAAGAAAAAAAGAAAAAAAGAAAAAAAATGTAAATCCTATAAAATCCTTTGATAGAATACATTAGAATCTAATTAACTCTGTGTAAACTTTAAACAATTCAATGAACTTTCAAAATTCATGGATTCTAAAAAATCTATCAAAATCATTTAAAATCTAAATGGAATACACCTCCTAAGTATTGTAGTAAATCGATGAACTAAGGTGGGGCCGTGGGTAATGGTATGAGTTTTGTTTTCTCTCTTGTTATAGTAAATATTGTAGTAAAGCCTTGAACTCATATGGGATTGTGGGTAATGTAATGAATTCTCTATTTTCTTTTTAGTACTCCGTATATTTTATCCTCTAATTTTCTTTTTCTTCCGTTTTTCTTTTATTTTTTTTATCTTGAACCAAACATAGTATAAGTGTTTTAACTTTGATCATAAAATATTTTCAAAAATATAATGAGCTATGATATAAATTTAATATCAATATATTTACTTTTAAATTAAGTTTTAAAATATTATATTTTCATAATTTACTCATATTTATATACGGAGTATAAATAAAGATATTAATAACTAAAATAAGGCCCAAATAGCACTAGAACTCTCGTAGTTTGAAAATTTGGCACCAATCCCATCTATTTTTCAAAACTTATTTTTAAAGTCTTCAGAATTTAAAAAGTTGCACTTATACACCCTTAGATCATTTTTCGACGAAAAATGTGGCATTGGTGTTTATTTTCCAAACCATAGGAAGCACTGGTGCTCATTTCTTATTTTTTTCCCCTTTATTTATATCTTTAACGGAGTATCAAACAAGGTTTTTAATTTTTTTATAATGTTCTTAAAAGTTAAAATTATTTTTGTTTGAAAAAAAGTAACATATACTGCATCTATATGTCTCAAATTAACAATTTTTGTTTTTTGAAATAAGAAAAGTAAAAACTTTTTTAAGAATTTCAAAAAATGAGGAATAGAATAAGAAATAAAATAAAAAAATAAAAATGAATATCATTGTTGGATATCCCAATTCTAAAGATTTTTTAGACGTTTTGAAATCTTTTTTGTATAAAACTCTCTTTTAAGGTTCAGAATTCAGTGTCACACAGTTAAAAAAAATTAAATTTTCACATGTAATGCTAAAAATAGACTACGCCTGCACATGAGGGACAAGTTATAATATAAAAATTTATCTTGGGCCACAATCACAATCTTAAGTTTTTGGATGAATTGGTTCTTTGATAGGAAAAGGTACATGTAGGACTCCATATTTTTCTTTTTCAATTTTTCAAGTAAGCTACTTGTATTCCAAAAGGTTATCACAAATTCTATGGCGGACCTAAAATATAATATGGACTTACATATGAGCAAAATAAGCATTTTTTACTATTCCCTCCGTCCTATATCTTTCTTCCCGGTTCGCAAAACGAAGAAAAATCTCAAGTTTTTTCAATCTATTTTATTTAAATATTGGTATACAAATAAAAAAATAAAACATACATATTTAAAAACTACATCAAAAGTTCAACAAAACAAGTGGTGACAAGAATATTTTATTTTATCATATAAGCCATGAAAAAACACAAATAAATATAAATTCCCGTGAAGTTGGAATAGTACTCTGAGAAGAAAATTTTAGGACGGAAGGAGTACTTAAGTAAGAATTTTTTATTTAAATAAAAAAATAAAAAGAAATGATTTTTTTATGTGAGAAGGTTCACGAAATTGATGTCAGGATGATGGTTCTTATAGACACAAAATATTACGAGTAGTATAGAAATTTTTAGATTGTACTACTCCATCCGACCTAAAAATGTTTTTCACAGTAACTATTTTTATGTTCAAACTTTAATCACTTTCTTTGCCAATTTTCGTTAGTTATTTGATAAAATAATATAGTCTTGTTGCAACTTTTAAATATATAGATTTTATTTTTTAATTTTAAACCTACAGTCAAATAAATTAAGTTGAAAATTCAATTGAACGAATCTCAAAAATCGAAATGGGAAGAACATTTCTAGAAAGATGGAATGTTGTGAGTGTGACTAAACTATTGGGCACTTGTTGTTTCTTCTTTTCCGAGTTCCCACTAGTCCCTGTAAAACCCTAATTAAGTCTCCTCTCTTTGTCTATCTCTTAAAACCCCACCCAGTTCCATATTTTCTACTCACTCTCAGAAAATGGGCAGCTTCTTCCTCAGGAGATCTTCGACGTCGCCGGCCTCGAAAAGGTTCGTCGCCACCGCTATATCCCATTTCTTTCACTCGTCGTCGGCCTCAGACAAGCTGGTTCCCTGGAATGCGCCCCAATTTCAGGCGGTCGCCACTGCTCGTAGCCTTCCAAGCATCTCGAAATTTCCGGCGCCGGCGCCGTCAATTTGTCGAGCGGTGAGGGGTTTCCACGTTTCTCAGCCGTTGGCTGCGAATCAAGCCGTTGCGGATGTAGCTGACGATGATGCAGGCCTTGAGATCGCCAATCTCGGTATTTCTCAGGAGATCGTATCTGCCTTGGCCCGGAAGGGCATTACGAAGCTCTTCCCCATTCAGGTGTTTAATGGGAAAAAAACCTGAAATTTCGTATTCATTTTTTAATCTCAATGAATGTTTATTTCCACTTAAAAATGTGCTGGAGTTATTTCTTTCAATCTCTAGCTACTTGAGGATTTGCAAGGTCAATCATACAGTTTTCTTAGTCACTTATCTTTCTTCTCATTTGATTACTTTCTCTAGTTTTATATAAATATAGAATATAAAAATATAATATTTGAAAATTGCATTACGAAATGAATCTTTTGATATTAAATTTATATCACAATCCATTGTATTTTTTTTATATATAATTTGTGGTCAATCTTTTAAAATGTTGACCACAAAAGTAAAAAAGATATGGGACGGAAGGAGTATCTTGTAATTGAGTAATTCTGATTATGATATTGAAGGTCTGCACTATAAGAAGTGGAATGTTTAATCTCATCTGCCTGTGCATGTTTTCTCTTTCTTAAAAACATGAAATGAGAATGTATGAATATGTAGATGCATGGTATCCTGCATTTTTCTTCACTACCAAGCTAATGTTGGTCAACAATTGTACCAAAGTATTCATTTTTGATTGTGCGTCAACTTAATTTTTTATGCTCTCAATATAAAGTCTCAATCTGTAGATTTCTTTTTTCCCCGAGAAGGATTTTTTTTAAAACGATCATTACCGATTAATTGATTTACTTTTTTGATTTCTGTAGCGAGCAGTTTTGGAACCAGCAATGCGAGGCTCTGACATGATTGGGCGAGCTAGAACAGGGACAGGGAAGACTCTAGCTTTTGGAATTCCTATCATGGATAAGATAATTCGTTTTAATGCGAAACATGGGTACATTAGTTAACTTTTTCTCACTCGATTGAACTCCTTTATTGGATATTAGTAGCTTAGCCACTATTAATACTGTTCTCAGTGTAAGGAATTAGTAAGACTGTAAGAGAACGTTCTTTATTGTCAATAATGCAGGAAGGGAAGAAACCCTTTAGCATTGGTATTGGCTCCCACTAGAGAACTGGCCAAACAAGTGGACAAAGAATTTCATGAATCTGCCCCTAATTTGGATACATTATGTGTTTATGGTGGTGTCCCCATTGGAAGCCAGATGAGTTGGCTGGAGAGGGGAGTTGATGTGGTGGTTGGTACACCAGGTCGAGCTATTGATCTGATCAAAAGGGGGGCTTTGAACTTATCAGAGATTCAGTTTGTTGTTCTGGATGAAGCTGATCAGATGCTCAATGTTGGTTTTGCTGATGATGTTGAAACAATTCTAGAGAAAGTGCCAAGGAAGCGCCAGACAATGATGTTTTCTGCTACAATGCCAAATTGGATTCTGAAACTTACTCAGAAGTTCTTAAAAAATCCAGTTCACATTGATCTTGTGGGTTCCTGCTTTCCTTTAAATGCAGTCTTGCAAAAGAATAATTTTGATAATAAGCTTTATAAAAGTATGTTCTTTTGAAATTCGCCGTCACTTTGTCATCTAAGCAATTAGCTTA